ATCTTCAAATAGCGGTGGCAGAGCTTAAAGCCCTTTTTCGTCGAAGGGATAGCATTCTCCACCTTTTCGTTTACGTACTAAAGAGATTCACGGAAACGACTAACGATTGCCACCTCGGCTCAATGGATGTCCTCGGCATATTTGGTCCGCCTCTCTTCCAGTTGGAGCTCCTGGGTAGCAATAGTCTCTCAGACCTCATCTAGCTCACGCTACATCTTTTTACTTAGCTCACAGAACCGCTGACAGTCCTCCTCGACGCTGAGCTAGATCCCACGCATCTAGGACTATAGTGTGTCGATACTAGCCTGCTGCTCGCCCCTCTCCTTCTAGCCCGTGGTGACTTGATCCAACAAGACCTGCCCTATGGTGTTCGCTTACCAAAAGGAAGAATGGCATGATCAGAAGTGAATCGCAAAAGCAAAAGATAGGAACTTTGGAAGAAAACAAACTTGAATAATAAAGTGAGTCAACTGAGCTCCGGCATCAAATGGTTCAAATTGCGGTGATACCACGTCCTCTGGAAGCAGCATGCCCCTCACCATCCAAAGAGCTATGTAGGGATCAGTCACACGATCAAGCACAGAGATGTCAGCATGAGGAATGAAATGAGGAATATCCAAGGTGTATGGACCAGCCTCACGTTCCCTTTAGCTTACCTGAGGTTGAGAGATGACAGGACCCATAGAGTATTGATCGGTACTCATGGGGTCGCCACCTCCCTCGAGGTTGATGACAGGAGGAGCATATGACTGTGACCTTACCTCAGCACTAGTCGAGGTCCCCTCCAATGATGAGCGGCAATCAGCCCTTCACTTCTTCCTCGAAGCCTTCTTCTTGGAAGCCACCAACATCGACTCCATGCTCGCCATATCTGAAAAAGGAGAAAGAAAGGTTAGTCGAGCTAAAAATCAATAGAACCAAAAGCAAGAAACTCGGAGACTGATCTACCTATGTGACTTAGGTCGGCCTGTATAAGCATGGGCTCGAACAAAATGGTTTTTACTTTAACCTTTCAGTGGACAAAATCCTAAACCGTAGCATGCATCTCTTCGATGAACCCTTCACTAAAATTCCGACAATCACTATGTCAAGCAGTGCTCATGCCCCAGCCACCGTTCTTAGAGAGGAAGAAATACCTGCTCTTGTAGTCTTTAATTTTATTGGGAAACTTGTCTAACACCTTGTATTCGCCACAAAAGGGGAGATAAAAATAGAAAGGGACATTGGGGACTTTCTTCATGGTACACAAACTAGAGAAGAAATCCAGATTTAAAGAGAAATTGTGGTGGTGACATAAACAAATCAGCCCTACCAAGGTCCGAACTGCATTAGGGTGAAGCTGACCTAACGAGATGCCATAATACCTCAACACCAAGAGAATGAAAGGTTGTAGGGGAAATTGGAGACCGGCGACCAGCGCCTCCTTAAAACACAGATAGCATCTCGACCATGACTCTAGGGGTATTCGTGAGGGCCAGGCTGGATACAATCATATTTAGCAGGGATTTGGTAAATGCTGTACAACTCTACAATGCACTCCCCAGAAAGCACAATTGGAACAAAAATAGACTTTGCTAGTTGGACTTCTTCCCTCATCCCTATCAAAGATTCAGAATAGAACTCCCCCTGAGAATCCTCTCCTGAGGAACTCCCCTCCTTGTCCCACCCATGGTCGGGTGACCTACTTCCTAAGGGATTGGAAGACATTGGTAAAGGTAGAGTACTCAACGGAAAAAGAACAGAGAAGACTAGGACCGCCAACTGACAGTACTTTGATAGGAAAACTGAGAATAGCACTTCGACTGCAACCTCCTCAGATCGGACACCACCCCAAAAAACACCAAAAACAATGTAAGTAGGGACCCATATTTATAATTCACTAGGCAAAAGAATGAACGACAGAGATACATCGGCAGCGGGTCAATAGTTGGAACAAAGGTAATGTGTGTAGACAATTTTGAATTCAAAATTTTGCATGCCCACTGAGTGCGCGCTCTTGCCGAATTTGAAATTTGAGTGTGCTTCTTTCGAATTTGAAATTTGAAATCCGCCTTGATCCCGCCCAATCTCAGACCAGATCAATAGAGTGAACTAGCCAGACCAATTACCTTACCAAGAGCTACGCTCTTCACTGAGCTGATGTAGGCTTGGGAGTGGGGGGCAATTGATGAGGGGTAATTTGGTCCTTTGAAATCACATTACGACACGTGGCCTACAAGTGACACCTCAGTGCTGAGTAAGAAAACTAGCTCAACAAGTTAACATATAACACCTCGCCCAGGCCGACCTCCACCTCGATTAGGCCGAGGTGATAGGTCTCCCGGTTTATAGCGACCTACCTCAAAGACAGGCCAAGCTATAAGAACCTATGGCGACCTATGAGGTGAGCTTGCTAACTTGTCCCGACGATACATTACCAGCCTGAGATCTCCAGAACATTAATGCCTCAACCGTTTGACCGGCCTACCATACCACATGCCTTAGAGTTACCTGGGAAGATTGTAACCCCTACACAAATGTTTTAAAAGATTAACTCCAAGTTATTTTTGGAAATATATGGTAGATATTGTAAATGAAGAATCCATGCTCTTTAGGAGTAGAGCTGTTTTAGAAACAACACAAGAATTTTCTATTAACACATGCAGGTTCAATATTCTCATAACTAAGTGTCTCTTGGAAGCATTACAGCTTGCCTTCTCCCAAGGTTAACTTGACTCTTAGGGGGCGTCCTTTTTTGAGATTTTGAGAAGGGAGAAAGTTGGTCAATGGGATTTTGGTTCCCATTAACCAAGAATCCCTTTTTCTTTTTTCAGATTTATGTGGGGACCATGGAAAATTTATTTTCCTGGGTACCTCCTAGGTGGGTAAATAACTTTCCCACCTAGGGGAAAGTTGCCAACACTTGAGTGGGACAAAAATGCCCCTTTTAATAATAGATTTTTATAGCTAAAATGGTCATTGCCTTATTTACATGAAAAATAAAAGAACATGGGTAAATGCACTTACGCGAGTAAGTGTTTCCTAGGAAAAACTTACCCAGGTAACTAACTGTATTTACCCGGATAAATAACTTACCAAAAAGCGGCCTTAGGGTTTTTTCGTTTTTTGGGTTTTGAGAGGGGGAAAGTTGATGAATGCGTTTTAGGTTCCCATTGACTGAGTGATACCTATATCCTAGGTGGGTAAATAACTTCCAATTTGGGGAAAAGTTGCCATTACTTGGATGGGACAAAAATCCCGCTTTAATAATAAATTTTATGGCTAAAATGGTCATTGTCTAATTTACTTGGGAAAAAAATAACATGGGAAAGTAACTTACTGAAAAGAGAATAGGGCCTCAAGGTTAACAATTGCATGTATAGGGGATCCTAACACCTTGTTAGAAAAAGAAAGGTTTTGGAATCTCATTAGACATATCTTTGATAACCCTACAACTTCATGACTCACAAAAGGTGTTGGTTCCTAAGCTCTTTCGGTTAGGGGTGGCAATTTTTAACCCAACCCGCTGAACCCACCCAACCCACC